AGATTTTGCCAGTTTCTCCTCTTTCTTCCCCCTTATTCCTTGGCATTATCACATCATTTGCAGAGTGTTTTATACCGAAACTGAAGATAACTTATGTTTTTTTGTCACTCCTTTCACAAACTCAGTGTTTCTTTGGCTATTCCAAAAGGACAGAAAAGAAGTAGCACATGTTTTTCAAGTTCATTGATTTTTTTTCTTTTTACCATTACTTCCTCCTCACTTCTTTTCATGTGTCTTAGGATACATGTCATCATACTCTTAAATACACTATCTCAGGTTAGAAGAAATACTTTCGGCTCATCACAGAATAAGCAGCATACGTGCTTTAGTCTTAGGCCAGATCAAAAGAACTGCTTACCTGAACAGGTGCGGAAACACCCGCATTTCTGGGAAGAGTTTGATGGCGGGTCATTCCACTGAAGAGAGGTGTACACCTCTTCCTCATGCATGTCTGAGATGCCTTACAGGCGAAGCGGTTCACACAGCAGCTAGTTGATCAAAGAACTGAAGTCGGCTGCTTCTTCACAGTGTTGGAAGACTGTGTTTGGATTTAAGGAGCAGAATAGATGTCTTTTCATCCAGAAAGTGGAAGTTTGGGGACTTCAAGCCAAAGTACAATTTGCTAAATGGGGAAACGAAAAAAAAAAAAAAAAAAACTGACTCTGGAACAGCCAACCACAGCACAGACTATTGTTCTAGTTTCCAAAAGGTGACAGATGTTTTGGTTTGCTTGGTTCACGTTAAAGATAGATTTGAAAGGAAGAATGACAGAGAGAAGAAGATAAAGTGAAAGATTTCCCATGTGATAACTCACTCCCCAGATGACAAGGTCAAAGCCAGGAGCTCATGAAGACATGAGTCTTTCATGTGGGGGGCAGAGGCCCAAGCAACCGGGCCATCATCTACTGCTTTCCCAGCCATCTTAGCAGGGAGTTGGATGCTGGCATCACGAACAATGCCTTCACCTGCTGTGCCCCAGACAATAGATGTTGAAGGTAATCGTGTGGGACTATTGTAAGAAAATATTGAAAGTGCAAAATATATACTTGTATTTAGTGTAAGACATGGAGTATGGGACTGGCCCAGGTAATGAAGTTATGAAGATAATGCATGTTAGATCAACCAGGGCACTGTAGATTATTATGTGTTTACTTAAACAAGAAAACTGGGAAGAGATTTCATTGCTAAAAACAAATTCACACAGTGTTCATTAAGATGATGCTAACTCAAAATACCAGTTATTTAACATAGTGAAAAATTATTTCTGATGTAACATTTTAGCTTTAAGTAAACTATCCTCCAAATAGAACCTGGACTACCTCTGGCTTGTGAGATATTAGCATCCCTACTTCTATCCCTTGAAAAGACAAGAGAATGCAAAAATACCCACACCTGCTTATTGAAAGCTATAACCTTGAAGTTACATGCATCACATCCATATTCATCAATGCAATATAATGCCTATATTTTGATATAAAAGCCAGAATTTGAAAAATGTAATGCTTGTCTGAGCAGCAAGATTTCCATAACTTCCTTTAGAAAGGAAGCATGAATTATGCAATGGACAGATGGCCATTTCTGCCACATCCTTTGATTATAGCATTGATAGTGAGAAATTTGATATTTTCATTACCATTTGTCTTTTAGCCCTATATCCTATAGCCAAAGGTCATGTCTCAGCAACTCAGAATCTGCAAGTCTCAACAACTCACAGAATTGTCATGTTCTTCTTTGTTTGACTGTCTCAATGGATGAACACCCACAGCTCACGGAAGGGGTAAGCTCTAGTAATGCGTTCATTAAAAGGACTGTTTATAAAGTTTAGGGATGGTTAAAGGAGCCAAAACTGGGGTAAAATATATATGCCTATTAAACCCAGGCATAGTACAGAGCACATCAATGGAATAAAAACCCTATCTCAGAATATTGCCAGTGCCTCTCATGCGCTGACCCAACTGGAAGCCAGAGGCCCTCCAGGCTGCGACGGAGAGCATCCTTAGAGACAAATGGAAAACACCCAACACATGTGATGTTCTGAAAATCCGGGTCTGGAAAATAATGATCATTATCTGCAAATACCCTTTAAAAACGGAGTAAGTTCTTTTTTGAGAAAAAAAGAGGAAGAGAAGATAACCATACCCGATGCTGAGACTCATGTCAGGAGCTCCGCAGGGAAGTTCAATAAGTGGTCATTAGTTCCCATTTGCTGGTTTTCCCAAATACAGCACGTTGTCTGTTAAATGTCTTTGAAGGGGCCTCTTCAAGTGAAGGACTCATGTTTTTACCCCTTCTTCAGATGTTTATCCTCACACTGCATGCTACTCATTGCTCATTGCATTCCAAGTACTTGAAGTGCTTTCACATCAATTTTTAAAAAAGATTTTATTTATTTGGAAGCAGAGTTGCAGAGAAAGAAAGAGCTGGAGACACAAAGAGAGAAAGATCTCCCATCTGCTGATTTATTCTCAAATGGTCGTAGAGCCAGAGCTGTAAGAGTTCGAAGCCAGGAGCTCCATCCGGGTCTCCAACGTGGGCCCGAGCACCTGAGCCATCTGCTGATTTTCTGGGTGCATTAGCAGAAAGCTGGATAAAAGTAGAACAGACGGACGGACTAGGCTCAGCACTCCTATGGATGTAGCTTAACTTGCTATGCCACAATATCAACCCCTTCATTTGTTTGTTTATTGCTAGTACTATTATAGAAGCAGCTGCAGAAGCACAGGGAAGTCAAATTTTGCTGAGGTTCTCTTCAAATTTATTCTGTGACACTCCGTGGTCTGATCTTAGAATGTGTGCTGTCAAAAGCTATGCTATTTAGGGCCCAGTGCAGTAGCCTAGCGGCTAAAGTCCTCGCCTTGTATGCACCGGGATCCATATGGGCTACGGTTCTAATCATGGCAGCCCCACATCCTATCCAACTCCCTGCTTGTGGCCTTGGAAAGCAGTCTAGGATGGCCCAGAACCTTGGGAGCCTGCACCCATGTGGGAGACCCAAAAGAAGCTCCTAGTCCTGGCTTCGGATTGGCTCAGCTCCGGCCATTACGGCCATTTTTTAAGTAAACCAGAAAACAGAAGATCTTATGTCTCTCCTCTCTGTGTGTCTGCCTTTCCAATAAAAAAATCATAAAATAAATATTTATATGAAAAATCAAATAAATACATACTATTTATTATATGCTTGTATTCTGATCAATAATTTACATAATTATAATAAATAGTTCTCACCATTACTTTATGAGCAATATACTAATAAGCTCATTTCATAAATAAGGAAATAAGGGTTTTTTTTTTTAAGATTGATTTTATTTGAAAATCAGAGTTATGGAGAAAAAAAGATAGACAGCCAGAGAGATCCAGATAGTCGTAACAGCCAGGACTATGTCAGGCTGAAGCAAGGAGCCAGGAGCCTCCTCTGGGTCAGCCACATTGGTGACAGAGGACCAAACACTTGGCTCTTCTTCCAGTGCTCTCCCCAGGCACACTAGCACCAAGCTGGATTGGAAGTCCTGGATGGGAGATGAACCGGCACCCATACAGGACACCAGCATCACAAGTGGTAGCATAACTCACTGTGCCACAAGAATGCCGTTAAAACTAAGTTTTAAAAAGACACAATTCCTTTCTCAAAGCCACAATGGGGAGTAAGTTCTACAGTAATGTTTGCTCGTTCAGTGTTAGAGATTACTTAAATGAGAGTCATGGGCCGGCAGGGGCGTTAGTGGAAAATAGAGGTCTCTGGAAGTTAGGACATCACTTGGTCCAGCAGCATCCCATATTGTAGTGCCTGGGTTCAAGGCCTGGCTCGGTCACCCATTCCAGCTTCCTCCTGAGGCGCACCCTGGGAGGCAGCAACTGATGGCTCATGTACTTGAGTCCCCACCACCCACATAGGAAACCCAAATTGAGTTCGGGGCTCCTGACTTTGGCCTGGTCCAAACCTAAATGTACCAGCTTATTGAGAAGTAAGTTAGTGAACAGAAGATCTCTGCTTCATGGTCACTCTGCTTTTTAAGGAAACACATTCAAAGCAAAACCAGACCCAGGTCTTGCTGGCTCTTTAGCCTTCTGCGAGCCGTGAGTGTGTGTTTGTCTCCCGGTTGCAACACACTCCTCAGGCAAGAAGGTTGAAAGTCACATTCGCCATCTGCATTCTCACCAGTGAAGTAGGAAAGCTGGGAGATGCAAACGCAGTGTCCTTTGGTATCTTGTTAGGGGGTGCCTTTCCACACTCACAGCCTATAAATACCGAGTTACTCAGCAACCACCAAACATAGAACACGGGGGAAATGACAAGATAAAGCACTTTGTCGCACATCTTCTTGCTCTGGACTCCAGTATCATTGGCTTCTTTTCCCCTGAGACTTCTTGCCCACTTTATTTTCCTTTTTTGACTCAAGGTGGAGGCGATCGCGTTAGCTGGGGCTTTGCTGATGGAAGCATTTCCCTACAAACCATCTCACGTGATGAAGAGCAAGCATTTTTTTCTGTTTCTTGTGAGCCGGCACCATGCTTGCTGCTAGTCTTAGAAGAACAAACAGGGAAGTCTGTTTTCACAAAGTTTCTGATTTAGTGGGCACTCCCAAGCTTGCATTTCGTTTGTACAACTGTGAGTTAGGTAAGATGGCTCTCATCATCCACTTACGGAATCCACAAGACTGGTACATGGCTATGCTTAAGGGACAACACCACGTGAATTACTCTGCTGATTCCAAATTTAACATTCATTTCACTATCTTATGCAGTCTTTCATATTTAAATATTTTGGACAGCCTAAGCCAAGAAGTCCTTAACTTTTCTTATTTTGTTATTTTTTTAATAAGCCTATAGCTGATGGAAGATGAGAGGAAAGAAGATTAGTGCAAATGACAGCCCTGGGGATGCAGATCATCAACTTGCATGCTGTCTTCCAGATGGATGTGCCAAGAAGGATGCAGGTAGCAAATATAACATAAAAAGGGACTCCAAGAAGAAAAGTAGAAAAAAGAACATTTACAGCTGGATTTCCTTCATCTAAATATTTTATTGTACAATCAAGCACCTGACTTGTTATCATGTCTACTTCTTTGCATTAAAGCAGATAATCCACCCTCACCATGCCAGCCTTTCTCTCACACATTAAATAATGTTTGTCCTCACAGAAGGTAGCGTAGACTTTCCCATCGAGAAAATAGGCACAGTTCATATTTTCTTTGACCTCTTCAGCAAACTTAAATCTGTGAATAGAAAAAAAGATAGAATACCTTTGAATGCTAGATCATCAACTATCAAACTCTGTAGGATTTGGGGTACCGAGTAGAAACTATGGGAGAAAAGTAACCTATCACATACTCATCTTGAGAAACTTCCAATCCGCCTGGGAATAGAAAGTGTGCACATTTAATCTGCACTTAATACAGGAGCAGAATAAGAAGCACCTGAATAATAATAACATAGTAGGAGTTCAGAATAATATAGTAGGAGTTCAGAGGAAGAGGTGGAATAATTCTGGAATGATGGGAAAAGCCTTAGCTACATCAGAGGTTGGTTAAATACTTAGCGAGATTTAGATACACAGAAAGGAGACGGAGGTCCCTGGAAGTAAGTAGCTCCATGGTTGGGGAACAAGCCCAAGGAAAAGTAAGTTAGTGAAATATTTTTAAACTGAGAGTATATGGTAGTCGGTAATAGGTCTAAGCACGTTGTATTGTAATTGGCTGTTACCTTGTCCATGTTCTTAGCTAGAGTTCATCAATATTGGTTTATTTACTACATGTGTAAGGAACGAGTACTATGTTCTGAAATGGATCAATGTGCTGAAGATAGAGGGGTAAAGAAAGATGAGGTCATTTCCGCTGGAGGACTTACATCCCAGTGACTTGTAGGGGTGCAGGAGGGGACTTACAAAGCCACAGATAAGCACACTAGAGTTTTTCAGGAAGAGATGACAGCGACAACGAAACGAAGTCGTGCTTGTGACAGACACTGGGGAAGTGGGGGAAAGGAGGCTGACTGAGTTTGAACAGCTATGGTTGGTCTCACTGCAGAGGTGATGTTTAAAGTTGAGTCTATTCCAGGGCTTGGAGCTGCAAAGGCAGAGCACTCTGGGAGGAAAAAATGGCAACACAAAAGCGTGAGACAAGAAAACAAATTGGATTTTGAATTTGTATCTATTCATTTATTTAAAAGGTAAACAGACAAGAGTGGAATTAGTCAACCTCTGGTTCATTCCCTAGATGTCCACAACAGTCAGGGTGGAGCCAGGCCCAACCAAGAGCCCGGAACTCCATCTCAAGTGAGACGGGGACCTAAGCACCTGAGCCATCACCTGCTGCCCGCCAGGATGTGCAGCTGAAGTGACATAGCCAGGACTTGACTCAGGCACTCCAACTTGGATGGGAGCGTCCCAAGCAGCCGGTTAACTGCTGCACAAAAGGCCTTCCCCAGCAATCAAGTTTGTTCAAAGAATAGAGAGAACAGCATTTGCCTGTCCGCTGTATGAATGAGGCAGCAAGCGGTTGGAGATAAAGCCCACGGTCTGGAGAGAAGTTTGCTTGTAGCACGAAGCCTACCGTCAGTAAATAATACATACTTGTTGACTAACTTAAGAATTAAGTAATGATCAGATTGTAAAAGTTTGAATTGCCAGTTTAAGTTTGAATTTGGAAAAAGGGTGCATTTTTGACATACATGATGAACCTAAGGGGTTGAGACTAAAGATTAAGCAATTTAATTTAGAATGCATTTGGCCCTGGATTGAATTCCAGGCTCCTGGCTCCAGCCTGGCCCAGCCCTGGCAATTTGCAGCACTTAGAGAGTGAACCAGCAAGTGAAGATTTCTTTTTGTCTCTGTCTCTATACCTTTTAAATTAAATTTAAAAAATAATTTTTTAAAGGATTGTACCTCATTGAATGAATACTAGAATTGTGCTGTGAACTAAAATAAATTCAGTTCTTAGAGACTCTAGGGTAGAAGAGTAGGCAAAATAATACTGAAGAGTCCAAATTATCCTTAAGATAGTATCTTCCGGGCCCAGCGCAAAGAACTAGCAGTTAAAGTCCTCGCCTTGCACGTGCCAGGATCCCATATGGGCGCCGGTTCTAATCCCAGCAGCCCTGCTTCCCATCCAGGTCCCTGCTTGTGGCCTGGGAAAGCAGTTGAGGACAGCCCCTTGGGACCCTGCACCCAAATAGGAGACCCAGAAAAGCTCCTGGTTCCTGGCTTCGGATCAGCTCAGCTTCGGCCATTGTAGTCACTTGGGAAGTAAATCACTGGATGGAAGACCTTCCTCTCTGTCTCTCCTCATGTGTATGTATTTATTGCAAAGTCAGCGATATGTGTATATATTTGTATATATGTGTGTATATATATACATATATGTGTAGATATGTATATACATATCTAGCTGACTTTGCAATAAAAATAAATTTTAAAAAGATAGTATCTTCCAAGAACAAAATAATGAGGAAAAAAATTTTTAAATATGTGGATCAAGTTACCCCATCTCTCTCTCTCTCTCTCTCTCTCTCTCTCACACACACACACACACACACATACAGATCCACAATGTTCTGATGTTGGAAGACTTAAACAAATGGAGAAACTGCCTAGAATAAAAGTGGATTGCATCTTGAATGAAGAGCAGAGAATTGGAGAGGGCAGCATAGCAATGTCGTAGGGCCCATGTTCTCTTTTAGGACCAGAGCTACATGACTTGGTTGCAGCTTATGTAAGCCACAGTAAGACATGAAGACATCTCTCTATTTGCAGGTATTTGACTCAAGAGGAAATGAAGTCTCCCTAGGGAATACGGTTTCTGATAGCATCTTCTACCTTGAGGGTCTAGCAACTTACACACTTTTGAAGAAAACTGAACCATCTTCCCATGTCCAGGACTCATTGGAGCTCCGGCGAGACAATCCAATCCAACGAATTAGGCCGGTTCTGCTTCGCAGGTAATCCTGTGTGAACAAGCACAGTAGTCAGGGTGCTTCCCAAACTCCCACTAATGTAACGAACATAGAGCATCACCGGCAGACTCTGGGAGCAAAGATTGGGTTACTTGTCCATATGATGATCAATGGCCTTTCTACGATATTTAGAATTATACCAAGCTGACTTGTTTTTTTTAAACATAAGGTTGGTATGGTGGCACAGCAAACTGAGCCTCCACCTACAGCACAGGCATCCCATGTGGGCACAAGTTCATGCCCTGACTGCTCCGCTTCTGACCCAGCTCCCTGCTTCTGGCCTGGGAAAGCAGCGGAAGATGGCCTGAAGCCTTGGGACCCTGCATCCACATGGGGGACCCGGAAGAAGCTCCTAATTTCAAATTGGTCCAGCTCCAGCTCTCTCCTTCTCTCTAATTAACTGCCTTTCCAAGAAAAAAAAATTAAGATAAAAGTAAATACTAATAATAATTTTCAAACTTGTGGAATGCAGGAAAAATTATATCCAAAATATCTGATATACTTAGATTTCTATGTGTTTACAACACATGCTGATTTTTCCCATCAATTGAAAATTAGAGTCCTGATATGCGATTCAAATCAGTAAATTGTAAATAACTACTAAAGACAAACTTTATATTCTTAGATTCTAATGGATTTGATTGTTTATGAAATGTTAACATGCAGAAGTATTAGCCTGTTTTAACTGAGTAAAGGAGATGTACAGAATATCATTCTCAAAGCAATTTATAACTAACCTTCATCTACCTTTCCTAGTTCAGATCAACTCTTTGAGGTTACGACTTGTCATTTGCTTGACTGATGCCCCGGATCCAAATCCTGGAGGGTTCCAGCACATATTTATTGAACTAACAGTTTATGGATAACAAAGTTAAGATGAGGCCAAATGCTCACACGCATTCACGCCTCCCAGGACACCAAATGAGAATGCATCCTGGACAGATAACACTTGACACGCACCTGAGACTCACACTGACGCCTACAGGTAACACTGTGATACATGCCTTCAAGGGCTTTCATCTTTCAGATTTATTTCTTTTTATTGGAAAGGCAGAGTTACAGAGAGAGAAGGAGAGACAGACATCTTCTATCCCTTGGGTCACTCCCGTTATGACTACAGAGGTCACAGCTGGGCTGATCTTAACCCAGAGGTTTCTATCGGGTCTCCCACTGGGTGCAGGAGTCCAGGAACTTAAGTCATCCTCCACTGCTTTCTCCAGCCATGACCAGGGAACTGGATGGGAAGTGGAGTAGTCAAGACTCAAACTGATGCCCATGTGGGATGCTGGTGCTGCAGACACTCAGCTTGCTACACCACAGCACCAGCCCTGCTTATTTCTTAAAACTTGAGCCACCTGTCAGCATTCTGGTCTTTTCTTCATGATTCACTATAGGGTTTGACACAAAAATTCTACCTGAAATCCAACTACTCTTTATTCTCCAAAATTACATGAGCCTATCTTATTTATAATTCTTGAAGCTAACATCAACATAGAGTATAAATATTCAAGACCTGGCTTATAGTCTGTCCCATTAATCTCTTTATAATGGAGTTAGAATTTTTAGGACATTCTCCTACTTTGCTGAATGGGAAAAAAAAAAGTTGGCTTATTTAACTAAATATGTCCTGTATGATCTGTCTGAGAAGAAATGACCATGAACATCACCAGGCTGACTCCTCAAATCTGACCCACGGTGTATGGGAGCCATCAGGAAGGCCCCAGGAGATTGCTCTGATCAATGAGAGTGAGTCTATAGACTAGGACTGGATTGGACAGTTGAGTTCTGTCATCTTTTACTGAGCTCAATCAGATCAACATAAAATGGAACACATTCCAAAAAATGCAAAAACAAGAATATTACATGTGAGGGTTTTTGTTCTTCCCTAGGCCCCCCAAAACATACAACACAGGGTTATCCTTACCAGAATGTCCCGGCTGGTTATCTTCAGAAGAGTAGCATTCACGTTGGCACAGAACTGCTTCCCCTCTTCCCACGTCACATTGTGCATATAGAATCCGTAACAACCGTCACCATGGTACCTCCAGTTGGTTTCACAGGGGCTGCATTTGTGATCTTCAAGAGAAACCAGACACAGAGACCCTTTCATTCTAAACTTAGCTCAGTCTTCCCACAGCCAAGGTTTCCTGCTGTCTCAAGACCCCCTGCAGGGACCTTCACACACTGGGGTTTGGGGGAAGGAAGAACAGAGGGCAAGCAGTACTCACTGAAAATTCCTTGCTTTTCTGACTGTTTTATTAAGTCTTGGCAGAAGAGTTTTGCTACGTGTTGCAGGGTTTCTGAGAGATTTTCCTTCTCCATTTGTAGGTAGTTTTGTTGCGTGACAGCTAGGTGTAAAAATTAGATGACAACAACTTGTACAGAGAATCATAAGAATAAAGCAAAAATCTCCCAATCGAATTACCATATATGAAGTATTTATCTTACACAAGAGTGGGTGGATGTTAATAAAGGGTACAAGTGAACGGGAATTTGAGAACAAATTAAGAAACATGCAAAAAGAAAAGAAAAAAGAAAAACTCTGATGAGAAGTGAACTATTTGAAGGACATAATTACAAATGAGAAAGACCCATGACCAAATAACATGCCCACCATGATTGTTTTTTGACATCTTCTTAACTACGAGTTTCTAAAGTTAACAGAGCTATAAAATGTCTGTTGTCCCCAGATATTCATTTATTTATAAATGCTTATTAATTTCTTATAATACTCATTCTAATATCCACATAAATAAAAGAAGACAATGGAAATATCCTAAAACAAAGTAAGAAAAATACAAAAATACAAAATACACAAACTATAGCCATTAGACAGCAATGTGACATTGGAAGGCTAAGTTTTCAGAAAGAAAAGCACCAGTATTTTAGTAAAACATAAGAAAGATGACATTTCAGGGAGAAGGAATAGAATGAACAAAATTTGGGACAAGAAGATGGGATTTGCTTATGAAGTTAGGAAAATTCTGGCTTGGCTGGGTGTTAGTACAGGAAGAAAAAAGTTTTAAAAGATAGTTTGGGCCTGTTGTGAGAATCTGTCTTTTTGAAAATTTTTATTCAATTATTTTACCTGAAAGGCAGGGAGAAAAGAGGAAAAACAGAAAAATAGAAATCTCCCTCTGCTAGCTCACCCCCCGCTAGCCCACAACAGCTCGAGCTGAGCCTAGACCAAGCCTGCAGGAGCCAGGACAATCCAGGGATCCCACACGAATGGCAGGGAAGCAGCTGCTGGAACTGTCACCCACTGCCACCCAAGGTGCAGGCTAGCAGGAAGTATTCCAATAGAGAAAGTAGGGGTCCCAGGCAGGGTCTGCCGTTGCCCCACAATACCACCAGAATCTTAAAAATCTGCCTTACATCCTTAAAGAAAATTGTTTCTTATTAGTAAAAACATTTACAACATTGTTTTAAAAGGAGGGAAACTTCAAGACTGTGACTTTCTTAAGGCAATCTTGGCGATCACTGACAGGAGGATTACAGGAGGAGGGAAAGCATCAGTTATGGAGCTCTAGTGGGACCCCCCACAACCCTTAGGAATTGCCTTCCTCAGACCAAACCTGTGGCCAAGAGTGGATACTTACACATAATCCCCAGAGCCACCAGACCAACAACCATCCCCATGCACAGGATGAGCAAAGTCAAAGCCATCACACGCCACCAGGAAGAGGCTGCTGGGACATCTGTAGGTACACAATAAAGAAGTCAAGGAGCGAGCAGTGTGGCACAGGCAGTATCACTCTGTCCCTGCCCTAATCCAAGTCACATAAACCACTTTCTTGGCAGACGTTGGCTGTGTGCCCCTAGTGATCACCCACAAAAAGCACAGCGCACTTGCATATCACATATCCAGGGCCACAGGTCTTCCTCTTTCTGAGCTCCAGCTTAAACTAGCTCACAAGGCCTGCTTGCCTTGGTTCTGCTTCACACCCACCCGTCCAAGTCATCATTTCATTAAGCAGCGACTGGAGAGCCGCATCCATTGGCTGATAATCAGCAGACAGACCTTCCAAAACCCAACTTCTCCCTTCCACCCCTGCCCTTCTGTGCCTGAGGGCTTCCAGGCACCAAATGCCTCCTTCCTTGTTGGTATCTTTGTTGTCCGTATTCTAAATTAGCCCTCCTGAGCCTGTGCAGTCACTACTCCAACGCTGCAGAGAAAAGAACATCCTTCAGGGAAAAAAAATTAAATTAAAACTACTCATACTATCGCTAGTACAGAGAGAAAAAAAAAATACGATCAATCCATTGCCCTCATTTATTTCTAAATGTCTGACTCTGGGCGTTCTCACCTGAGGCCACCGCTGGTTTGGGATCTTTAATATTTAGGGCCATGTAGCCATCTTCATCCTGCATGGCTTCCCACGGCCGGCTAGGGAGCTCAAGGACTGTGCCAGACTTGGTGTCCACCTTCGCAGTGTCCGTGTCCACATAGATGTGTTCCTCCGCCCTCTGGGCGGGTAGGATGGTGGGAAGTGGGACACATGGGGGTTTTGTTGTTGTTTTGTGCTTTTCAGGAAGCCCTTCCATTGCTACTCAAAGATACAGGGACCTTGAACACAAAAATAAGAGCAACTTGTGGTAAAGGAGGAGATATGGCATTTGTTTCCTGTTTCCTATCTTCAGCTCTGAACGGAGGGATATGCCATCGTGTGTATCCTCCCCAAGAACAAAAGATCATGCTGTGTCTTGACCCTCCAGAGTCTCGGGCACATTGTTGTGGGACAGGGGACTTCTGACCAGGCTTGCTACAAGTTCCTCCTTCCCCGGGTGAAAGAATTTGAGAAAGTGGAGACATGAAGATGGGCGGGAGAACAGGATTCATTTGAAGCAAAGTCCAAGTGTAAGCCCCAGAACCAAGTCATGCACGAATGAACAGGCAAAACTGCTAGAAGGCCCCGAAGTAAAACCACGCTCCAAGGAGAAACTTGCAACAGTGATAAAGCCCCGTCAAAGCGAAAAGCCCCATCAATACGGTGAGGCGTCTTGCTCCAGGAGACTCAGTAGACAATAATGACCAGGCTGGAACTCCATTGAATATTCAAAACGGGGTGGGTTCAGAAGTATCAACATGTTAGGGACACACCAGAAAGTGTCAAGAGCCTAATGGGATTGGGTGTGTCCACATGGTAATTTTATTAGAATAACCTGATTGTTGAAGAAGATTCATGAATTAAGAACACCAGAATTGTTCCTTGGAGCATCCATCAGTCCTGGTCCAGGGCTGCACTAGACCTCTCCTTCCCCGTGAGAGATGACAACGCTGTAACAGATGGTTAAGAAAAGAGAACCCCAAAGCGAGTGGTTTGGGGTCAGGGCCAGGTAGGTGTTGGGCCCAGGAATATGAGGGTGGCTGTTTACCAAGGGGGATATTCACAGGGAAAGCAGGGATGCCCAGGGGTCAGAGGATGACAGAACCAGCTTTCCAGAGGTAGCTGACAAAATAAAGCAGAACTGTTCCAAGCACCACGTGGCTTGGAAGCAAAGCACTCCCGTAAAACAGCTTCATCAAGAATCTAAAGGCATCCAAAGAAAAGAAGAAAAAGTCCCCAGTGTTGACCCTCAAGCCCTCCAGCTCCAGTAGTTGCTGGAAGGCACAGACAAGGTTGGAGTTACTCCACAATGGATCAGATAGGAGAGAGAGGCGGGGAGAAACCAAGAGCCTCAAGCCCCAGCCAGGTGAGACTCGCAAAACTCACCAATCAGCCTCTGAACCGGCTTCTGGTCGCTGTTCCAAACTCCTGGCTGGTGCGTGTGGGCAGTGGGATCTGGCCTTGGCCTAGATTTATTCTAGAATCTTCTCTCCACCCACAGAAGACTTCAGGATGGAATGATAGAGGCATGCAGGAAGTCAGGATTCCCCTCCACATGGCTGAAGCTATCCTTTTATACTACCAGGAGCCATTGGGGGTGGTGTCTGGGCTTCATTTACTATCCAAAAAAGGTAGGGTTGGGGGCGGGGTTTAGATATAACCTGTGACCATGACCTTTTTTGGAAACATTGGAAATATCAATGTGTCAGGTGCGTGATAGGAGTGCGAGTAATTTTATTTTCATGAAATAAATAAAACTTGGCATATTTTCTGCTCAGAAAATGGGGACAATGTCTTCACCTCCCAGGCAGAAATTCAGTATGATAATAAGGAAAGTCCTGCTTATATCAGGAATATCCTCAGATGGGCTCTCATGGATTGAACTGTTACAAGAGCAGTGGACTGGCCCTCTGAGAGTGCTATTGCAAGCAGAGCTGTCCTCCTGGAACTTCCTGTAAACCATCTGGAGAGAGCTTGGAGGCCCTGCCTTGCCGCAGTGCAACCTCTCCTCTTTGTGCCTGAATGTATTCCCTGGCTCTAAACAGAGACTGATGAACCACCTGTTCAGTATTTGTTACACAAATGAATACAAGTACCATGAACATTGTCATCCTAACTTTAAACATGTGAGAATGGGCCCAGCACAGTAGCCTAGCAGCTAAAGTCCTTGCCTTGCACATGCACCAGCAGCCCATATGGGCACTGGTTCTAACCCTGGCAGCCCTGCTTCTCATCCAGCTCCCTGCTTGTGGCCTGGGAAAGCAGTCTAGGATGGCCCAAAGCCTTGGGACCCTGCACCTGCATGGGAGACCTGGAGGCTTCAGGCTCCTGGCTTCAGATCTACTCAGCTCTGGCTATTGCAGCCACTTGGGGAGTAAATCAGTGGACAGAAGATCTTCCTCTCTGTCTCTCCTCTTCTGTGTATATCTGACTTTGCAATAAAAACAAATAAAATCTTGTTTTAAAAATGTGAGGAGTGCAGTTTAAGAAACATAGGGGTTTCCTGGGAGCAGACTTGTTACAAGCAGTACCATCTTGCCCGTTTCTGATTTTTTTTCTACTACGCTGAGCTGTCTTCCACTGTAATTGTCACCCAGACTCTGTTATCTATGCTCTTGTTTGAAGAATGAGTAAAGGATATCGGAGTCCCAGTGAGAGTTTAGAGGCAATCAGAAAGGAAACTAGGAGGATGCCTGACACATAGCTAAAACTGATGAGTGGGCGCCGGCACTGTGGTATAACAGGCAAAGTTGCAGGCCACAGTGCTGGCATTCCCATGTGGATGCTGCTCTGGTCAACTCCCGGCTGCTCTGCATCTGATCCAGCTCCCTGCTCGTGTGCTTTGGAAAGCAGTGCAAGATGGCCCAACGGCTTGATCCCCAGAACCCACATGGGAAACCCAATAAAAGCTCCTGCTTCCTGACTTTGGACCAGCCCAACTCTAACTGTAGCAATCCTTTGGGGAGTGAACCAGTGGATAGATTCTCTCTCTCTGTGTCTCTCCTCTCTCTCTCTCTCTCTCTCTCTCTCTCTCTCTCTCTCTCTCTCTGTCCTTCTTTCTGTAACTCTGCCTTTCAAATAAATAAATCAATCTTAAAAAGAAAAAACACTGATCAGTGTATAATTGTGACTAGTGGATATGTAAAAAGAGAAAGCCCAAAAGGAAGGGCTGTTGACTTCGAGGTGTTTTACAGCTCTAAGTCCTAAAGGAAAGTCCTCGGCAGCTGGTGATGCTGTATCCCAGGCTTTCGCACGCGCACCTGCTGCAGGCTAGAGCCCCAGGTCTTTCGTTCAGGGCAATTCTGTTCCCTTTTTCAACCCTCTGCATTGAAATTGTTGTTTCACCTTTGACTTACTAGCCTTCCATGTATTCTCTGAAGATCTTGTAACTTTAGAAAAGGCTAGGATATCCTGTTAAACAGAAAAAGCATTATGTACATTTTATCATTTTATTTTCAGAGAATTTAAATGAGCAGGCTAAAATGAGAAATGAGACTTTTTTAAAGTTAATGAAACCAATGAAAACCATCAGACCATGCTATGGCAGAGCATTTTGTTGCACTCAGGAGAAAACAAATTCAAGAGAAATATACATTCGATCACATGCATACACTAAGTCTGTCGGACGTAGTCTCACAAAATATATGCAAGCAAAAATGTAAGTAGTAATCAAATAGAAACTATAGGATTTGAGTTAAATTTGAAGAAAAGGTAAAGATGACATAAGAAGAGAGAGGAGATGCATATATATGTATTAAGTAGAACAAACGCCTTAATAAAGTTCTGGACGCATGAGTAAGCTTGATGCAAGTGAGGGAATGTGAATTGACATAAAGATATTTGAACTGAGGATTCATGTCAGTGTTTCAAGATACAATGTCACATTCTTCTATTAAAATCCCTGCAAAACTTAGATGCTAGGGACAGTCAGTAGACCAGTTATCTGGAGATAAACACCTATTCATCCCAGTGGATGGCCCAAGCATGGTTCCACTTTCTGAAGACAAGCGACTAATGAAACCTATGAGAGTTGTACTCTTTTATCATGCTTAGATATTTGTTAAAATTTATTTTTTACTGAAATGTCAAATATACGGAGAGGAGGAAAGAGAGGAAGATCTTCCATTCACTGACTCACTCCCCAAGTGACCGCAACAGCTTGAGCTGAGTTGATCCAAGCCAGGAGCTGGGAGCCTACACCTGGAGTGCCACAAGAAACAGAGTTAATGATCTCTGGACACAACAGCACTTGGGGGTTGGCAATAAATGAAAAAAAAGAGAGAGAGAAAAGCAAGAGTGTCCTGAGGAACAAAATGTTGGCGAAAGTTCTTGAAGAAGAGAATGTGGTTATGTAAACTGCTGCTTAAAGGATGGAGAAGACGCAGAAATATTGTGGGAGACCCAGAAAAAGTTCCTCACTTCGGCTCAGCTCCAGCCATTGCAGCCATCTGGGCGTGAACAAGTGTATGGAAGATCTTTCTCCCTGCCTTTTCTTCTCTCTGTAAAATTGCCTTTCCAAAAATAAATAAATAAATACATCTTTTTTTTAAAAAAAAAAAAAAAGTAATGGGCCCGGCGCGGTGGCGCAAGTGGTTAAGTCCTCGCCTTGCACGCCCAGGATCCCATATGGGCGCCGGTTCTAATCCCGGCAGCCCTGCTTCCCTTCCAGCTCCCTGCCTGTGGCCCGGGAAGGCAGTCGAGGACGGCCCAAAGCTTTGGGAACCTGCACCCGCGTGGGAGACCCAGAAGAGGCTCCTGGCTTCGGATCGGCATAGTATCGGCCCGTTGCGCTCACTTGGGGAGTGAATCATCGGATGGAAGATCTTCCTCTCTGTCTCTCCTCTCTGTATATCCGCCTTTCCAATGAAAAATAATAAAAATAAATCTTTAAAAAAAAAAAAGTAATGTGAGTAAGATGAATCCAAAAATATAGCCATTGGTTGTTCTCATGGTCACTTTCATATAAAAAGAGAGAGAGAGAGAGAGAGGGAAGAAAGCCGATTGGAGTAGGTCCTAGCAAGAAAGGAAGAGACGGCAGGGATAGACAAGTTAGACAAGTATTTTCTTTTAACATTTTATTACTTTTTAAATATTTATTTATTTTTATTGGAAAGGCAGAATTTACAGAGAGGAGAGACAGAGAAAAAGATCTACTAG